TATATATATATATATATATATATATATATATATATATATATATATATATATATATATATATATATCAGCAACGAATTACTTTTAGGGAGTATTGTCGGAATCGAACCCCATGACCAGATGAACGCTGCCCACTGCGCCGGGAGGATATATATAAGGATTGAAACGGGATTATCTATTAATTCTCATCCGCTGTGAAAGGCCCACACCGGAAACCCCAATTTACTTTTTACAGTCTCCCCTCTCCAGCTCAGGTAGAGCGCCTGTCGCGCCCACTCTCTAAAAACTTAATTGGAAAATGAGCTTGAAGTAGCGTTTGTTGGCTCGTATGGTTATGGTCGGGGGTTTGTGGCTCGTGTATGGTTATGGTCGGGTGTTTGTGGCTCGTATGGTTATGGTCGGGGGTTTGTGGCTCGTGTATGGTTATGATCGGGTGTTTGTGGCTCGTATGGTTATGGTCGGGGGTTTGTGGCTCGTATGGTTATGGTCGGGTGTTTGTGGCTCGTATGGTTATGGTCGGGGGTTTGTGGCTCGTGTATGGTTATGGTCGGGTGTTTGTGGCTCGTATGGTTATGGTCGGGGGTTTGTGGCTCGTATGGTTATGGTCGGGGGTTTGTGGCTCGTATGGTTATGGTCGGGGGTTTGTGGCTCGCGTATGGTTATGGTCGGGGGTTTGTTGCTCGTATGGTTATGGTCGGGGGTTTGTTGCTCGTATGGTTATGATCGGGGGTTTGTGGCTCGCGTCTGGTTATGGTCGGGGTGTTTGTGGCTCGTATGGTTATGGTCGGGGGTTTCTGGCTCGTGTATGGTTATGGTCGGGTGTTTGAGGCTCGTATGGTTATGGTCGGGGGTTTGTGGCTCGTGTATGGTTATGGTCGGGGGTTTGTGGCTCGTATGGTTATGGTCGGGGGTTTGTGGCTCGCGTATGGTTATGGTCGGGGGTTTGTGGCTCGTGTATGGTTATGGTCGGGGGTTTGTGGCTCGTGTATGGTTATGGTCGGGTGTTTGTGGCTCGTCTGGTTATGGTCGGGGTGTTTGTGGCTCGTATGGTTATGGTCGGGGGTTTGTGGCTCGTGTATGGTTATGGTCGGGTGTTTGAGGCTCGTATGGTTATGGTCGGGGGTTTGTGGCTCGTGTATGGTTATGGTCGGGGGTTTGTGGCTCGTATGGTTATGGTAGGGTGTTTGTGGCTCGTATGGTTATGGTCGGGGGTTTGTGGCTCGTGTATGGTTATGGTCGGGGGTTTGTGGCTCGTGTATGGTTATGGTCGGGGGTTTGTGGCTCGTATGGTTATGGTCGGGGGTTTGTGGCTCGTATGGTTATGATCGGGGGTTTGTGGCTCGCGTATGGTTATGGTCGGGGGTTTGTGGCTCGTATGGTTATGGTCGGGGGTTTGTGGCTCGTATGGTTATGGTCGGGGGTTTGTGGCTCGCGTATGGTTATGGTCGGGGGTTTGTGGCTCGTATTGTTATGGTCGGGGGTTTGTGGCTCGCGTATGGTTATGGTCGGGGGTTTGTTGCTCGTATGGTTATGGTCGGGGGTTTGTTGCTCGTATGGTTATGGTCGGGGGGTTTGTGGCTCGTATGGTTATGGTCGGGGGTTGTTGGCTCGTATGGTTATGGTCGGGGGTTTGTTGCTCGTATGGTTATGGTCGGGGGTTTGTTGCTCGTATGGTTATGGTCGGGGGGTTTGTGGCTCGTATGGTTATGGTCGGGGGGTTGTTGGCTCGTATGGTTATGGTCGGGGGTTTGTGGCTCGTATGGTTATGGTCGGGGGTTTGTTGCTCATATGGTTATGGTCGGGGGGTTTGTGGCTCGTATGGTTATAGTCGGGTGTTTGTGGCTCGTATGGTTATGGTCGGGGGTTTGTGGCTCGTATGGTTATGGTCGGGGGGGTTGTTGGCTCGTATGGTTATGGTCGGGGGTTTGTGGCTCGTATGGTTATGGTCGGGGGTTTGTTGCTCATATGGTTATGGTCGGGGGGTTTGTGGCTCGTATGGTTATAGTCGGGGGTTTGTGGCTCGTATGGTTATGGTCGGGGGTTTGTGGCTCGTATGGTTATGGTCGGGGGGGTTGTTGGCTCGTATGGTTATGGTCGGGGGTTTGTGGCTCGTATGGTTATGGTCGGGGGTTGTTGGCTCGTATGGTTATGGTCGGGGGGTTTGTGGCTCGTATGGTTATGGTCGGGGGTTTGTAGATCATATTCATGGTCGTAGGGTTTGTCTCGCACATTCTGGTCATCAGTGAACTGATGACCAGAATGTGACCAGATGAATAAAAGAGACGAGACGTGTGAAGTCCCCCAAGCCCAGCACAGGACCATACCATGGATATAGATTTAATAGACTAAAAAAGGGGGCTGAAATGCCGTGTAGACCTCTTCCTCGTGTGCTTTTCTCGTCATTTCAAAATGAAAGACCACCTGGGAGTTGAAAAATGACTTCTTTTGATGCCTAGATTTTAATAAGTATGAAGATAGACGCCATAAAATTTTCAAAGCGTTAGGTGGAATACCTGGCAAGGAACTAGAGATAACTTTTGTGTTGTCAGAGATAAATTCTTCCTGGCGGTCTTACTGAAGTTCTACTACGAAATGACAACATTAATCCAGTAGAGGAGGATGGATAGCCTGCGTCTCTAATGATTGCCAAACTATTAGACACCATTCACGTATGTTACTCTCACCCAAGCTAGATAAACAAGCTGTGTACCCTGAATATGTCTAAGTTTGGTAAGGAAGAACATCTCAGGAAGGAGGAAAATTGTCAAGAGTAGAAAGCCAATCTTGTTCTGAGTTTACATTCATGACTTAAATTATGAAAAAAAAACATTTACGTAGCTCATCTCTGTTGATTATGAGAAACTAGTGAAAAATAATCAGATCTCAGGACTGTGACACACTGTACAATAAAATAACTCCCTTCCAGAGGTGTTGTGAAGAAAATTAACGGACTTTAGGTGCAGTCAAGTGCAAAGTCTTAGTCACAGAAACAGGAGTGACAAGGCTCCCAGAAATCAATACAGGATGAAGAAGAGGCAGTTTACTGTATCAGAAAAGGACAAAGAAAGTCTACATAGGCATAACAACATTATTAACTTCAGACACACACATTACTAGAGAATATGTCGGCAGCATTTGGCCATCTGGTCGCACTCAGGATATCAAGACGTTTGATAATCCTTTCACACACTATTTTCAATCTACATAAGACAATAAGAATAAAGGAAACTACAGAAGGTCTATTGACCCATAAAAGACACCTGTTTATAGTCACCCATACGCATTGATATGTATGTCAAACCTACGCTTGTTAACCGGTAATTTATTCCATAAATTAACTACCCCTAATTCCAAACCTGGATTTTAACTTGTACCATTTGTCCCCATTGTTCGAGTTCTATTTTGAGTTGATGTATTACAGAGCATATTTATATTCCCACTGTTATGTTTTATTAACTATTTATATGCTTCAATTCTTCAACCCCTTACTGCTTGTGTCTACTCTTCATACGAGTCATCCTTCTCTGTACGAGTCATCCTTCTCTGTACCAGTCATCCTTCTCTGTACGAGTCATCCTTCTCTGTACGAGTCATCCTTCTCTGTACCAGTCATCCTTCTCTGTATAAGTCATCCTTCTCTGTACCAGTCATCCTTCTCTGTACCAGTCATTCTTCTCTGTACAAGTCATCCTTCTCTGTACCAGTCATCCTTCTCTGTACCAGTCATCCTTCTCTGTACCAGTCATCCTTCTCTGTACATCCTTCTCTGTACCAGTCATCCTTCTCTGTACCAGTCATCATCCTTCTCTGTACAATCCTTCTCTGTCATCCTTCTCTGTACCAGTCATCCTTCTCTGTACCTTCTCTGTCATCCTTCTCTGTACCAGTCATCCTTCTCTGTACCAGTCATCCTTCTCTGTACTAGTCATCCTTCTCTGTACAGTCATCCTTCTCTGTACCAGTCATCCTTCTCTGTACCAGTCATCCTTCTCTGTACCAGTCATCCTTCTCTGTACAAGTCATCCTTCTCTGTACCAGTCATCCTTCTCTGTACCAGTCATCCTTCTCTGTACCAGTCATCCTTCTCTGTACCAGTCATCATCTTCTCTGTACCATTCTCTTCTCATGTACCAGTCATCCTTCTCTGTACTAGTCATCCTTCTCTGTACCAGTCATCCTTCTCTGTACCATCATCCTTCTCTGTACTAGTCATCCTTCTCTGTCTAGTCATCCTTCTCTGTACCATCCTTCTCTGTACCAGTCATCCTTCTCTGTACTACCAGTCATCCTTCTCTGTACTAGTCATCCTTCTCTGTCATCCTTCTCTGTACTAGTCATCCTTCTCTGTGCTAGTCATCCTTCTCTGTACCAGTTCTCTGTACCAGTCATCCTTCTCTGTACCAGTCATCCTTCTCTGTACCGGTCATCCTTCTCTGTACCAGTCATTCTTCTCTGTACAAGTCAAACTTCTCTGTACCAGTCATCCTTCTCTGTACTACTCATCCTTCTCTGTATTAGTCATCCTTCTCTGTACGAGTCATCCTTCTCTTTCTGGGAGACTAAATCGAGCACACAGCTCTATACAGCCCAACTACAAAATATTCAGAGTAGTCCACCAGGCTCGCACGTGAGCTAAGGGGACTGAACAGCGAGGCAAGCTGAGAGAAGCACAACTTGCAAAACAAAATAGGTTAGATGATTGTTGACCAAACCACACACTAGAAAGTGAAGGGGCGACGACGTTTCGGTCCGTCCTGGACCATTCTCAAGTCGATAGGTTAGATGAAGAATTACGCTAACTACTAGATGGAAAGGCGTGGCTTAGGAGCTGACTCTCAACCTTCCAAGCACGCGTGGGGGATTACCATACATAGTCATATTAGTTATTGGGTTAATTATGCAAATAAGTTCAGTGTCAACTGAGAAGTGGTCAAAACAGTATGTTTCCTGCTCCCTGACGAGGAGAGACAGTCAAAGGAATGGATGCTGGATTTTGCGAGCTCGGAACAATGCCTGTTTTACGAGCTCGGAACGATGCCTGTTTTACGAGCTCGCTCACGGAATGTATTATTAATGTGTCTTCATGTACTGTAGGTATATATGAAGAAAACAAAACTAGTTTCTTGCGGAAACTTGAACACCTTTGCTTCAAGAAAATCATTAAAATCGAACAGTTAACGAGTGATTGATTGCGTGTAACGTGAAGTGAAACCCAGAAATTGGGTCACCTAAAAAAACTGCATCATCTACACGTCTGCGTCATCTACACGTCTGCGTCATCTACACGTCTGCGTCATCCAGATACCTGCGTCATCCAGATACCTACGTCATCTACACGTCTGCGTCATCCAGACGTCTGCAATAAGGTAAGCTATTACGTCAATTATTTGTACTACTAAACAATTATGGGCAGGTAAGTTCGAATTGCTATATATTTTGCAGCGGCATTCACTTCAAACATATATATATATTATGTCGGTAGTTCAATATTGGCCATAACTAAATTATATTGTATGACGAGAACTGTATTAATCCTCTTTGAGGAAGCAACAGATGATACATATCATATACAATGTTAATGGGCATTTGAACGGGAATTCAAAATAATAGTTCACAATGTCTGAAAGTTGACCTGTTGTTGGTTTATAGAGTAAGTATCGTTGCTCAGAACCTTGTAGTAGCTTCAGCCAGAGTTCTTCATAGGAATATTTTATGTCAATCTGTCGAGTTAGTGTTGATGTCTAAGGGAGAGTTTCTAGGAAGGACAAACATCTAACCTAAGAACAAAATATACTGATAAATACAAAACTCTATTCTAGTAGACAAGGAATCACATTCCTTGAATTGCAAGTTGCACAAATACAGATCACTTGAACAAACTCTTGAACATTAGCACCATAAACCTATGATGACAAGCAACTGGTCTCTAACATAAACCAGTTTACCTATTTCCACATTATTAATATTTCTAAATTAATTACATTATATTTAATATGTATAATATGTTCAGATAATAGACGCCTAGCTGTGTTGATCTGTGAAATGATTGTTTTTACATTATTTTACAAGTCAGCAAAGCGAGGCGTTTATTCTCCCGACCAATCGCCGTTGTGATGGTGAGCTTGTGAGTGATTGGGCTAAGTGCCCACTTGATCCTCACTTTGACACCCTTTCAATTACTAGGAAACACATATTGAGAAAGGCGGTAACCGCTCAACGCGCACTTATTCAGAAGTCAGTCAAAAAACTCCATTAACATGACTGCCAAACAGAACAAATAAGCTTACCGTATGTGAAAATCTTGTCATATGTAGAGTTAGACTTGCAACAGCTACAGAGGACTGTATCACACCAAGTTTACTGGACCAGTGGCCTGTCAAGTGCAGTAAACTGTTAAGGCTTCGCACATAGTTAGGCCTTCGTTAGTGCGTTTGGTTCCGTACTTTTAGCCAGCTCAATATTAAATTCTCTCCCTCGCCCTTCCTACCTAAATTCCAATACTTCCCCTCCTCGCTGTGTCACGCCAGACGGCGCTGGGTGATCTAAACCTGACTTTAGTAAATCGTTTGGCTAATGATCCTTTGGTTCGTGTTGTGCTGAGGAAATGACTTGGACAAATTGAGGTTACTAAACCATTTTACTGTTTAGTGGTCCTATATGGGAGTTTCAAGCTTACGAAGCGTAGAAGAGGTATGGGGGAAGTTTAAGGTCTAATTGGGAAATTGGGTAGTTAATTGGAAGATAGGGGCATGAAGGGGTATTCGGTTATGAAATAGAGGTTACTGCTACGTAAGGGTAGGGGGGATAAAGTTATATGTGAGAGAGAGAGAGGTACTAGGGTATGAAGGAGTGGAGATATGGCATAATGGGTATTACAAAGATATAAGGAGATGGGGATTAATTGGATCCCCATCTCCTGGAATGGATTATTTGGATCCCCATCTCCTGGAATGATATGATGAAATTTTGAATTGCTCGTATATGGGAGAATGGGGCGTCAGAAGAAACTTGGAAAGTGTATGAAAAGCGAGAAAGCGGGTTTAGGAAAATAGAGAAGGGTGAAGAAGAGAGGGAAGCGAAAAGGGGAAACATAGGAATTAATAAAATAAAATGAGAGTAGAGGGAGAGGTGAAACACAACCATGGAGGTTGTGTTTCCTAGTCCTACACAACCTAGGACTAGGAGGTGTGTAGAGGGGACCACAACACTGGTCTGGCAGGTGTGTGAAGAGGGCCACAACACAGGTCTGGCAGGTGTGTGAAGAGGACCACAACACTGGTCTGGCAGGTGTGTGATGAGGACCATAAAACTAATCTGAAAGTGTAGTAAAGAGGTTCAGAAAACTTTCCCAGTAGCAGTGTGATGTGTTTTCCCACCAGTCAGGTCCAGTAGAGAGTGAACCTCTCTCTTATATATAAGAAAATATAATTTAAATCTTATACGGGATTGACATTGAAGCTAATACATAAAACAAATAAAAATACAGAATCAAAATAGAAACCTGCCGATTTAAGAACAAATACACTTAGAGTTTTCTCTTACCGCTCATGATTTATGACACACAAAAGAATGTTCCACTTAATGCCATTAAGTCTAAGAAATGCATAAAAAGATATTCGCTTATAAGCATCTCATGCCGCGATGAGAATGAATACATATTTCAAAACATGACTGAAATGAACATGCATCGTTTAGTACTAACAAGTAAAATGATATAGCTATAACTAACATGTCATGATAAATCCGTAATATGTGATGATAATTATGTCACATATGATTATAATTCTGTAACGTGATGATAATTTCATGAGACGATGAGACGTTTTATAAGCCACTCTCGATTGATTGATTGATGAATATTAAGCCACCCAAGAGGTAGCACGGGCATGAATAACCCGTAAAAGCCACTCTCAATCTCACCTGTCGTATATAAAGCACTCTTATTAAGACCTGTCGTATATAAGCCACTCTCAATAACATTGGTCGTATATAAAGTATGTACCAGCTATAGAAGACAATAAGGGAGAGTAAAGGTGTTTATACCGAACTGTAAGAGAGAGAAAAATAATGTGGGTGTGTGTGAATAAACAATCGTAAAGTTGGGGATCGTAAAAGCAGGTGTGGATCGTAGGAGTAGGATCGTAGAAGCAGGTGTGGATCGTAGAAGCAGGTGTAAATCGTAGAAGCAGGTGTAGATCGTACGAGCAGGTGTGGGATCGTCAATGAGAGGCCCACTAGACGTGCCAAGAGAGTTGAAACTAATACAAAGCTTCCCTTGGCCTACCCTCCGCTTTTCGTTAAAATAATAAAGTTTGTGATGTAGATGCCAGATGCGACGGGCCAAGCACAGGAGGGGAGACACCTGTGCGAATATTGCACAGGTGCGAACTCTCTATTCACTTCACTTCTAGAAAATGGATCTCGTACAGAAAGTATATGCCACACTTTCACCAACAAAACACGCTGAAGTCACCAAAATTGTTCTAAAAATTATATTTATGTCAAGTTGAGTGACGATACTCTTTGCTGCAGAGATTTTTTCCTCTTGCCTATTCCCACTGAATTTAAGTTTTCAACTACGGTCATATATTTAAATTAGACTCAAGAGTTTGTTGGCAACAACTTAAATAATTTAAACGTCAGTTTTACGGAAGAAAACGAGAAAGCGACACTAACGCCGAAGAAAACGAAGAGCAAGTAGAAAACAATGAAGGAATGGATAAATAATATTAACGGAGAAAAAAATGAAAAAATAAGATATGTCAGTGTCGACGGAGTTAACTGATTCTGCCTTTTTTTCACAGATGGACACATGAAGTAATAATTTATTATTATTTTTTTTTAATTTTTTGCAAAAAAGTATGGTGTATTTGGAATAGCTTTTGATTAACTATATTTTTCCCGTCGCTGAAATGTTATTCCAGACTGACTGACAATCGATGTTCGGCTCACTATCACGTCAGCCTTGACAGCTTATCGAAGTTAAGTATTTCTTCAGTAACGCAAAACACGACGCCACATCTAATTACCGATCTCTCACTCTCCCACTCTGACCATCTACCAATCCCCGTCACTCATCAACTCATCACCGTTGACTGAGTGAACATTTCTCTGTCGCCGGGAATATCACAAATCAATTAATTGCTGGACATAACTACCTTGTGCGAGACATATAAGTGACGACGTTTGTCCAGATTACGAAGAGGTGGAAGAACAGTGGATTTGGCTTTATTGCATAATCTTCTGAAGTAAAAAGAATAAAGCTCTTACCCTAGTCTATACATATGTATAATTACAGACTGTACAATTTGTAGTTTTTTTACACAAATGGGTACAGGAACAGACGACTTCTGAGGTCATTAGCAGACAGAAGTTTCCCTTCCCCATAGCTGATACTAAGCCTTATTTATTAGTTTTCCCTATAAGACGATCCACTAATCGGTTAACAACCAAGTACCCAGTTACTGCTGGGTGAATAGAGGCGAACATATAAGGATTGACGCCTAGTCAATCCCCCCAGACCAGCACTCGAACACAGATCAAATCGCTGCCGAGAGGGTGGCGATTTACCAATGAACCACCAACCAGCTGATTCGGGTTGATGATTCATGATATCCCCGTCTCGTATGACGGTTGATATCCCCGTCTCGTATGACGGTTGATATCCCCGTCTCGTATGACGGTTGATATCCCCGTCTCGTATGACGGTTGATATCCCCGTCTCGTATGACGGTTGATATCCCTGTCTCGTATGACGGTTGATATCCCCGTCTCGTATGACGGTTGATATCCCCGTCTCATATGACGGTTGATATCCCCGTCTCGTATGACGGTTGATATCCCCGTCTCGTATGACGGTTGATATCCCCGTCTCGTATGACGGTTGATATCCCCGTCTCGTATGACGGTTGATATCCCTGTCTCGTATGACGGTTGATATCCCCGTCTCGTATGACGGTTGATATCCCCGTCTCATATGACGGTTGATATCCCCGTCTCGTATGACGGTTGATATCCCCGTCTCGTATGACGGTTGATATCCCCGTCTCGTATGACGGTTGATATCCCCGTCTCGTATGACGGTTGATATCCCCGTCTCGTATGACGGTTGATATCCCTGTCTCGTATGACGGTTGATATCCCCGTCTCGCATGACGGTTGATATCCCCGTCTCGTATGACGGTTGATATCCCTGTCTCGTATGACGGTTGATATCCCTGTCTCGTATGACGGTTGATATCCCTGTCTCGAAACACGGTTGATATCCCCGTCTCGCATGACGGTTGATATCCCCGTCTCGTATGACGGTTGATATCCCTGTCTCGAAACACGGTTGATATCCCCGTCTCGCATGACGGTTGATATC